CATCAAAAAAACAGTTTAAAAACGTTTGTATTTTAGATATTCGTATACACAATCTAGTTGATCAAGCTTCTTTTCGGTTTCATCTTTACGGCTCTATGAAATAGGTTACACTATAAATCTAAAACAAGACAACATATAAAACAAGAACCGGTTGAACCGTGTGATGCTCCCCGAATCGGTTTTGGACACAGAAAAGAATACCTCTTGTTATGTCCCGGACAAAGTTCAAAGTGCAATAATTCCAAACTTAGGAAAGACAGAGCTACTGTTCTTTGCACAGCTTATCTACCCAATGATATATATCTACCTACAAAGTTTCTTGTTCATATCTCTTTAATTGTCAGAGTTATGCCGCGGACACAGTACAAAATGTCAATGTGAACAAAGGACACTCACTCCAAAATTAGATAATTTAGAGTTACGATTCTTGTGCACTACACATCTACCAAATGAGATCTATCTAACTACAAAGTTTCTTGTTTATACCCATTATACTTTCAGACCTGTGTTCAAAATGTAAAAATGGACAAAGGGCGTTAACTCCAAAATTATGCAAGGCAGAGTTATGGTTCTTTTGCACTGCATATCTACCTTTACCTCTTGTTGTTACAGAGTTATGTCCCGGACAAGAAAAGCGGAAGGCGCGCGAACGGACAAAGCGGAGACTATATGCTAACCCTTCGGGGGGTGGGGACAAAAAAATAAATACGTTTGAAGTAAAAAGATTGAATATATATTAAAGGCCACGTGAATGAGACATTTAAACAACAGAAGACTTAAAAAAGGTTACCCAAAGTTAAGGCATAATAAAGCATAAGTTTCACAATCTGTATAACATGATATAGAGAAGTTATATTTTGTTATCACCAAAATCTGAGCGTTCATATCGGGAATTTGGCCTTTTGCTTCTATTATTTTATTCAAAATAAGAAATAGCTAAACTAGAAATTTAACCAATGACAATATTTTGAAGTGCATGGAAATCCAAGACTCTGTTGAATAGAGAATCTTAAAAAAACTCCTCAACCTTAAGATGTATTTAATGGTAGCCATAGGTAGTTCTGATTTATGATATTCATTCATTTATTCATTCACTTTTAACATCTAAAACGGGAAAGCATACACTTCTACTTTAAAGCTTACAAGCGTCTACCTAATATTATCATTATCCATCTCGTAGACCTGCTTGGGTTATTTTAAAGAAAGGGGCAAAATAAAGCTTAATAAAAGCTGCTTTAGACATTTTATTGAAAATATAAAGAAGTTTTCAAATAAGGTGTCGCTTATAGGACAAAATGTTAAGCAAATACTACGATGATTCAAATTTTTTTGTTAAGAAAATGCTCGAATGTCCTGTCCTTTTTATTGTCCTGCTGGACTCTCGCGGATGGTCTTGTGTTGGGGGATGCGCTCATTGAATGCCGTCCTTCTTTGTTGATCTTGTTTTTCATATTGGAATATCGAATCAAAGAAGCTGAAATATTGTAAACTGCAAGTACCTTAATTTCTTCTCCCTTTCTCATATCACAATGGAAGTATATGATTTCCTCAGGGCCATCTGAATTCATATTTTTCCAACTTAATCTTTAATATACTAAACATTAATGTTAATCAACATGTGTTGATGATACAGGGATGCACGGGCCAAACTAAGTTATAAGTATGCTACATACTAAAGATTTGGAGAGAAAGTTTGCGTCATGCACGCCGATAACTGTGGTTGTGAGTATTTTACCGTATATGTGTTTTCAGTTAAATATTAGTATAGCATTGACCATTCCGATGCGACACTTTACAATGCATCGTTTTAGTTCAAATTGTGAATATATTTTTATTACAGCGCAGAATAAAACTCGCTTTATGTTAGCGTATCTGGCATGGCGGATTCATATGGGGATCCATGATTAGATAACACTCCTGAAATGAATTCGTGGTCACACAAATTAATTTATGTTTTTATTCATATTATATTTTATTCTCGTATAATGCAGATTCATATATTTTAGTTTATGACAATCCGCTAAATTAATTTGTGGATTTTTGGTCTGCACAAAACGAGCATTTGCTACTTTTGTACGTGTTCAAACACGTACGTGCGTGCATACCAGCGGGCGTTTTTTATACATGTCATAGAACATCGTACAAGAAGAGAATCTGGCCATAGGATTAAAACTAAAACACTGGCGAATAAAGCGATTATTCTAGAACAAATCTACTTGCAATTATTATGTTCCTATAGAAATATAGAAATCATTAAACGTGAACTATAAATAAGCAGTTTTCGATATAGTTTTTATTCGATTTCAGGTGTCTTGTGGATGGAGAATTTGGGCATATCAAGAAGCTGTATAGACGCAAGGATTGCGACAGTATTTCGCAGGTGGCATCTGTCGTAAGAAAGTCTGCTTCAAGCAATTCCCTCGTGCTCTTCCGCGAGTACCATGGATATCAGAATTGGCTGGATATTCTATACAAATATTTTAATTTCTTAAATTTACACCCTATTTTGTACAATAAAAAACTAAAAAATTAAACACAGAGCTAAATTCTGCTTCGGCAGAAACGTTGTCATATTACTGGTTAGTGTATTAAATATTGCTTGTTATGGTTAAATATCAAGTAATTTACGATTGACTTATTATTAACAATGTCAAAATATATTACAGGTATGACTGGAAGACATTTCTGCCGTGTTTCCTTTTACCATTACGGGGTTAAAGCGGTATCACTCTTTCCGTATAACGAAGGATGGTACGATGCTCGTATATACGCGAGAGAGCGCTCAACTGACGTAGAGCAGCGGGTCACATTTCTGAAGAGGAATACTACAGTACCAGACGACATTCTACCTGCAGATTTGCTACCTAGTGGACTATCTGTTAAAAATGTACGACCTTTTGTACGTCAGGCGTACCGTGATGTGGCGTGCCCACAACTACGGGAAGAATGACATTCATTTTACGATTCATATGTACAAATGTATCTATCTTTGACTGTATCAATAAACTAGATATTTGTTTGATATAAGAATGATCTAATTATTTATTATTTCGTTAATTATAAATTAAACAATATACTGGGTACATTATTGCCGATCATTTTTTTGTGATTTCTTCCCCGTTAACTTTTTATATTCATGATTTTTAAGTTTGCAACTTCATAGGACAGAAACGTAAATTCACTTGAGCTTAGTGTCTTTATTTGTTCTTACAAAATCCATTCTTAAAACAATAGCAGTTCAGATATAAACCACGACGTTCTTTAAAGCGTTTAACGTTGATAGAAACGTCGTCGACGTCAGAACAACACTTTGGTACATGTACATAAAAAGATATATCTTGGACATTTTTCAAAATCATTTAGTCAATAAAAAGTAAAATCATCTGCAATAATTGATTTATATATAAATTATGATACAAAAAAATGATGAAAATTGTCCGAAGGGTCATTTTTTCATGGCGTCGCTCAATTGGATATAAGTGTAGACATACTGTACCATTGAGATAAACAAGCCCTCTAAACATAATTATTAAGAAAATCAAAATGAATAAAAAACCAACTTTGAACGACACAATTAGCTATGTATTGAACCTGACATCACAATAAGCTATGTTGATAAACCAGACGACAAATAAGCTATGTTGAAAAACTTGACAACACAAATTGCTATCCTGATTAGCATAACAAAATAATTAGCTTTGTCGATAATCCTTTTATCACAATTAGCTATGCTATAAACAAAAAACGATTACATTTAGATATATGTTGATAAACTTAGCATCACAATAAGCTGTGTTTATAAATTGGCATCTCAAGTAGTTCTGTTGATAAACCTCACAACAAAATTAGCTTTCTTAATATGTATGACAAAACAATATATGAAAATAACCTGACATCAGAATTAGCTATATAAATATGACAACAAAATTAGGAATGATTATAAATATGATAACACAAATAGCTATGTTGATAAACATTACGACACAATTAGCTGTGTTCATATACCTGACATCATAATAAGCCCTGTTGACAAACTTGACAAACAATTAGCCATGTTATAAATAGGACGACAAAATTAGCTATTTTGATAAACATGACAACATAATTAGCTATATTGATAAACCTGACATAAAATATTCGGTATGTTGATTATATGAAATCACAATAAACATAACGTCCAATTACCTATCTAATAAACCGGACGAGCTATAAGCGATTATTATAAAACAACATGATAACAAAAATAGATTTGTTTACAAAAAATACACTTTTAGAATATCTTCATTTGTAAACGTTTCAATTCTTATTTTCAAAATTAAGAAAACATTGTTTGTTTAGACATGCGCTTGAAAGTATAAATGACTTAATTTTTGTATACAATTTTGCATTGTTGTGAAAAATAATTTTCTATTTCACGGGCAATAAACGCAAGGTATCTTAAATGATAGGAATACAAATTGCTTCCCTTGTGTACTCGTTTTTAAACTTCCGCGTTCCAAAGTTCATATTTAGACAAACGAATAGAAAGGTGAGATCTTTAATAGATTTTTGTATTTATATTACAAAATATATGTTTGGTTAATCAGAAAAGTTTGCTACTTTATTGAGAAACATTAGTTATTGTAACACTTAAGGTTTATAGGATAAGTTTGATAAAATAATACCTTTCACATGAAAATTTATGTAAAGTTTCTATGCGACAACGCCTATTGAGTATACGACATGTTTGGGCTCATTCTTTTGAAACAAAATATTGATTACTCTTTCATCAACTAAAGTAAATTGATGTATTTAATTTGATGAATTAAGTATTTGTGCTTTTACATTAAGTTAAGGGTATTCAAACCGGGTTTCAATATCGCAATTTTGTTCCATATATTAAACACATATGTTCAATGCTGGATGTACATTTACACTGTAGCTTTATCTTGGCATTTTTTAAATATTAGTATGTTTTTGTAAGAAGGATTGACAGTTATGAATTCTTGTCGTTTAGGAAAATGGAAGTGCCAGGAAATATAGCTTTGCCATCAAAGACAAACCAAAACTTATATTGTATCCCATGTGAAAGAGATGGGTTAAAGGAGCCAGCCCATGGATTTTGTCAAGACTGCCAGGAACATTTGTGTAAAGTTTGTTTTCAACATCATAGAAGGTCAAGACCATCTATGAACCATGTGCTGTTTGATAGAGACGCTATGCCAACACAACAAACGACCATTGACGTAAATGAAGACGTCATTACTGACAACTGTACCAAACATAGGGATAAATCACTGGAGTTCTATTGTAACAGTCACGAAACTGTAGCATGCTATGTCTGTGTTACGCTTGAACATAAACAATGTAAAGTTGACTATATTCCTGATGTTTCAGGTAACGTATCTGGTGATTTAATAGATTTGAACAAAAAGATGGAAGTGCTAGCCATGAAATGTGAAAATAATATAATGAATGCTTCAGCTGCTACAAAACAACTAGAACAAAGTCACGGAAAAGTTGTTGAAGACATACGACTCTTGAGAAAGGAAATAAACGATCGTTTCGATCAGATGGAATCGATTATGCTAAAAGAAGCTGAAGCTGTTGTTAATACAGCAAACCAGAAACTCGATAATATCAAGGTTGCTTGCGAAAAAATAGCCGAGGAAGTGAAACGTTCACAGTCATTTCTAAATGGCCTGAAGGAAGTTAACAAGCATAATACGCTTTTCATTGAATTGAAAAATGTCAGACCTCGTTTAATGACACTGGAAAGTGAAGAAAAACAAATTGTCAAGGATAATATGACATATGACGACATTCTATTTGACGGGAACCAAAAGCTATTTGATCAACTGGAATGTGAGAAAAACTTTGGAATAATTTCAACATACAGAAAACCATCTCCAGATACTGAAATATGTGTGAATTATGAAAGATCGCTCAACGTGAAATTTTCTTCTGATAAAGTACAAAGTGATGTCTTTGGGATGGTAATGGTTTCTGCAACACAAATGATCATTGCTGATAATGCCAATAAGACAATAAAAACTATAGATGTAGACACAGGAAAGTTGGTTTCAGAGAAAACCCTGTCTTCAGGACCACGCGATATTATAAAACTTCCACAAAATAAACTTGCTGTTGCATTACGTGATGAAAAGTGTATCCAGATCATTTCTTATACTGATACAAGTTTGTCTTTAGGTCGTCGTATAGATGTCGGAGATAAGTGTAATTGTGTAGCTTATTGTCAGGACAAGCTAGTAGTAGGCTGTAATTGCAATCCAGGAAAGCTGGTTATTCTGGGTTTAGACGGAAATATCGCACATGTGTTTAATACTCCTGGTTTATTTGATGGTCCTGGACAGATTTCTATCAGTAGTGATGGGAAGTTTGTGTATTTATCTGATTACTACTACTGGAAAGGTCATGGCAAGTGCCTGAAGATAGACTGGCAAGGTAATGTTGTACAAAGATTTGAGGATCAAGGATATGTATGTCCAAAAGGAATTCAAGAGTTGGATGATGGTACGTTGTTAGTTTGCTTCTACTCCAGTCACAAAATAGTCAGATTGTCTGGCAGCTTCAAGAAACGTGAGATCACAGGATTAGAGAATATAAACATTTATTATCCAAAAACCGTAACATATCTTGAAAGAAATCGCAAATTATATGTAAGTTGTTCTTCTCAGCAGGAGCGTGGTTCAAATGATACAATAAAAGTATTTAATGTGAGATCGATTGATGGTACGTTTTGAATGTGAAAATATGCTGCAACGTAAAATGTTAAATGTAATAGACACATTATATTGCAGTGGACATACTAAATTCAAACACAACTGTTGTTATGGATATTCAGATTAATATTTCATTGTACAGAAAAAGTATACTAAAAATAGAAAGCTTATTTACTTGTCCGATGAATATCTCCGTGTTGAATTTAATTTAATTTAATGTGTCTGCTCTGAAGATGTGTTAGCCCTTTATTTTATTTGTTTTGTTTTTTTCATTTTTCAAAAAGCAATTGAAGAAGAAATGGCAATTGGCCAATGAGAAACCTTTTGGATACCATTAAACACCAAAATTAAAAAGGTTTTTGAGAAATTAAAGCAAAAGCATTTCTGAGGCATAATGGGCCTTTAAATATATAATGAACAAATCTTGTGTACATGACCAAAAGGAAAAAGAATATATCAATACATGTGGGCAGATAAGTGTTTGATTAAATGATTCACGTTGACTTTATCAGTGGTTTTGAAAAGAATTTTACTATTTACATGTCACATTGCAACACTTGATAGTAGGAACAAAAGTAAATTTTTTTTAATACAATTAAAATGTTCGATGAGTGACAAGTGAGTTTGTGGATCAAGGTCGTATTTCAGCATAACAAATCATTGACAATGTGTAGGTGTCCCTTATGTCCAACTACAAAATATCCCTGACAGTACTAGGCTTATTTTGAGTTTATCCCGAGCATCAACTTCATGTATTTAATGAAAGAAGAATTGCAAAGTCTAACGTGTACAGTGTTTTAAATAATTCAAGTTATTAACTATTAGAAAAAACAAACCATATCAGGTGTCTCTATTGTAATAAAGTTTGGTTTTATTTCCTGTTTAGCAAGTTTTTCTTTGTTATGTTTCTTTTGTTTCATCATTACTTAACATGAGATATAATCCAGGAAATATCTTTTAAATTATCTATACGACTTTAATACATACAACAGCCTTAATGTTTTAGTGTTACGAAAAGTTATCGAATTCATAGCTTAATTGTAATATTGCACGATTAAGTCCCTTTAAATCTTTTTAATGCGTATTATGTCAATGTTGAAGACAATAATATTGTCTTTAACAGTTTTTCTTCCCAACTTCACTCTTTCAATTTCCATTCGAAATTTTTAATTTATTTCATTACGAATTAAAAAACCTCAAGCTCATTTAAGCATTTTAGTATAAAAAGGCTCGACAACTCGTTATCTAAAGCCGTTGAAAATAAAAGAATTTGGTCATAATGTGTCTTTTATGGCTATACATTGTTCTCGTTGTTTAGTTGTCTATGTTTTAAATATGTATAGATGAGACTACGTATAATAAAGAATATGTAATTGTTTGCAGAAGTATGCAATTTATTTCTATTTCTATACTTTATAGAAATACAGTAAAAACAAATTTCAGTAGTAATATTTTGTAAATACATGTATTCTTTTTATTGTCAAGTAAACGAAGGGTTTGGTTTGTGACGATAAATAATGGCAATGATTCGCTGCAAAGATCTGTTTCTTAGAGCCCAAACTATTCTACACAATTTGAAATGAATATATTAAGATGATATGAATGTTACTAAGTTAGAATATAAAAGAGCAATATCTCCAAAATTAGGCAAGGCAGAGCTATAAGCACTGCACTTCTACCCAATGAGATATACCTACACATTTTTATGTTGATATTTTTTTTAGATTCATAGTTATGTCCCGGAGAAAGTTTAAAGTGTCAAAATGAACAAAGGATAATAACTAAAAAATAAGGCTAGGAAAAGTAATGTTTTGCACTGCACTACCCAATGAGATGTATCTATCTACAAAGTTTCATGTTGATCTCTCTACAGTTTTAGAGTTATGTCCTGGACAAAGTTCATAGTATAAACATGAACATAGGGCAATAATTCCAAAATTAAGCAAGGCAGCGTTACGGTTTTTATGCACTGCATATCTACTCAAACAGATCAATCTACCTTTAATGTTTCTTGTTCATTTCTATTATACTTTCAGAACTTTGTCCTGGACAATGTTCAAAGTGTAAAAATGAACAAAAGGCAATTTCTCCAAAATTAGGCAAGACAGAGTTATGGTTCTTTCGCCCTAAACTTCTTCCTCCCAATGAGATCTATCTACCTACAAAGTTTTATGTTGATATCTCTGATAGTTTCAGACTTATGTCCCAGACAAAGTTTAAAGTGTAAAAACGAACAAAGGACAATAACTCCAAAATTAGGCAAGGAGTTATGGTTGTTTTTCACTGCACTTTTACCCAATGAGATCTATCTTCATACAAAATTTCATGTTGATATCTCTTAAAGTTCCAGATTTATGTCCCGAACAAAGTTCAAAGCAATTAAATGAACAAGGGCAATAACTCCAAAAATAGGCAAGACAGAGTTATGATTCTTTTGCACTGCACATCTACCTATACCTCTTGTTGTTACAGTGTTATGTCCCGGACAAGAAAAGCGGACGGACGGACAAAACGGCGACTATATGCTCAACCATCAGGGGGGGGTGAAAAATAAAAATCAATCCGTTTGAACTAAAAACGTGACGACTTTTAAATTAAATATATATAAAAGGCAAAGTGAATAAGACATTTAACATTTAAATAACAGAAGACTTAAAAAAGTTACCCAAATTAAGCGTGATAAAGCATAACTATGTTTTAAAATTTACATTCTGTATAACATAATATAGGGAAATTATATTTTGTTATCACCAGAATCTGAGCGTTCATGTCGGGAATTTGACCTTTTCTTCTTTTATTTTATTCAAAATAAGAAATAACTAATGCTTGCAAGCGTGCACCTCATATAACCCCTATCCATATTCTCGTAGACCTGCGTGGGTTTTTTAAAAGGAGGCGACATTATAAAGAATGTACGGCTTAATAAAATGTGCTTTAGACATTTTATTGAAAATATACAGACGTTTTCAAATAAGGTGTCGCTTATTGGACAAAATGTTAAGCAAATACTACGACGATTCAATAATTTTTGTCAGGAAAATGCTCGTGTGTCCTGTCCTTTTTGGTGTCCTGCTTGGCTCCTTGCGGATGGCATTTTTGATCTTTCATAATTCAAAATTGTACCAGTTCATGTTAAAAGTTGAATCCTTCTTAAGCTGGTGCAAGGGGCGTGGAGAGTAGTTTGCTATTGACAGTACCGTCCATGAACAGGCTAAATCAAACTACAACATTTTCAATTTTGCTGTGTTGGGCTTTCCTTAGGGATTCTCATTTTCTCTGTTTTATCGCCACATCAGCGTTGTTTGTGCCGTGAGGAGGCTGTAAAAAGTCGCCCCGTACATTCAATCAGAAATGTTATATTTCCAAGCCTTTAATATTGTTCAGCACGACATTATTGTTGTGCTTGTTGTAATTTAGTTATTTCTATTCGGCTTTTTTCTTGTTAGGTGGTTCCAGTATTCCTCACTTGAATACTGTTGATTCACCCTTAAGATATGTGGCCTGCTTTTTAAATTTGTCTTTTGACGTCTTATCTGTGATATGCAGGCTTCATTACCTCTGATCCCCTTTCAAAATTTCATTTTATTTAGTTCCACCCATTGTTTTCTCGTTAAGGGCACACGTATTTTTTTTACTTGGGGACCATATGCCGCTTTTCATGGAATGGCACTTACGTGTCACATTGAAGGTTCCATGAAAACCGCCATATGAACACATCTGCGGATGTTTCAAAAAAATAAAAATTGCACCAGTTCATGTTTAATGTTGAATTCTGCTTAAGCCGGTGCTAGGGGTCGTGGACGGTAGTTTGCACTTAACAGTTCCGTCCATGAACAGGCTCTATCAAACCGAGCCTGCAACATTTTCAATTTTGTCGTGTTGGGCTTTCTTTAAGGATTCTTTTTTTCTCTATTTTGTGTAGTTTATTAATTTAGAACGTGTTTAAATATGATTTTGTCATTATTCGACATTTTAGATATGATATGCGTATATAAAACTTTATGTTAACTTTAAATTCAATAACAACAGATATCATAAGATTCTTAAACGTGTTTAATATTGATTTCTTTGTGAAATGAGGCGATTGAATTGTATTATGAAATATATCAATATATGACGAACAATTTTCCATTGGATATTGCAATTGGTTGCTGATGTCATTTGTATACAAATTTTGTAAACATGAACAAACCTCAGACTTTTCTGTCAGCTTGTTATTTGCGTGATCAGCTTTGCAAATGTAGCAAATAAAGAACTTTAATGTTATCAATATCATAGTGTTGACTAAAGTGTCATAAAATAGATTGATTAAACCAATGAAAATAGCATGTGGTTGTAGCCGTAACCTTCCTTTCATACTATTTTAGCCACAGTCTCATTAAATATTTTCTTCTTTTTAAAAAATGGAAGACATTAAGCTGGAGACTGTTTTATCAACCGTACGTTAGTTTTTGTCGCAGACATGTCGCACACCAGTAAGAACCGTTTTATAAACCTTTATTCATAGTCTACGACCTTGTGAGAAATGTCGCAGCTCTGCGACAGGGGTCTTAGCTCTGCGACAGAGTTTGGGCTGTCGTACGATGTTTATGTGACGTCAAGTTTGTCAATCGCTGTTTACATGTATAAATGCTCAGCACATTATTAAAAAAACATTTCCAGAATTTTTTTTAGACAAATCATTATATTTTTACTAGATTTTATATAAATTTAGATATTTTTTTAGGAACACCCATATGATATAAAGTAAAAGACATCGGAAGGTTACCGTGGTCACGAGAAAAATAAAATAAAAAACAATCCAAAAAATATCAACCAAATTAGGCGACACTAAGTAGAAGTCATCGTGGATGAAAAGCAATATGCAGTATAGATATATCAATACGTAAGGCTGCACAAATTGCATGGTGTATATATTTTGCATTTCATTTTTTTTTAAATAATCTAGTATCTGCACTGTAACTACGTTATTTACAAATCCGGGGTTTGGGGATTATTAAGTATACTAATACCACTTGAGA